GTATACCACCAAACAGAGCAGGACGAGCAAAAGGTTCATCAAACAGATCAAAGACGCGAAAAATTGATACCGTTGATCTACGGAGTCTCTTGATGCAATGCGCACAAGCTGTAGCGAGCTTTGATCAGAGAAGAGCTACAGATAAACTCAAGGAGATAAGATCACACTCTTCTAACAACGGTGATGGAATTCAAAGACTGGCTTTTTACTTTGCAGAGGCGCTTGAGGCACGTATCACCGGAATCATCTCACCGCCTGTTTCTACTGCGTTTCCTTCAAGCACGACATCGATGGTGGATATCTTGAAAGCGTACAAGCTGTTTGTTCATACTTGTCCAATCTATGTTATAGATTACTTTGCTGCAAACAAATCAATCTATGAGCTTGCCTTGAAATCACCTAAGCTTCACATAATTGATTTTGGGGTTCTCTATGGCTTTCAATGGCCTTGTCTGTTACTAGCTCTGTCTAAACGACCGGGCGGTCCACCAATGCTCCGAGTGACTGGAATAGAGCTGCCACAGGCGGGTTTCCGTCCTTCAGACCGGGTTGAAGAGACTGGTCGGAGACTGAAAAGGTTCTGCGATAAGTTTAATGTCCCGTTTGAGTTCAACTTCATAGCAAAGAAATGGGAAAGCATCAGACTTGATGAACTTACAATCAATCCAGGAGAGACAACGGTCGTCAACTGCATTCATCGGTTACAGTACACTCCGGATGAGACTGTGTCACTAGACTCTCCGAGAGAAACGGTTCTGAAACTATTCAGAGATATCAATCCTGACCTCTTTGTGTTTGCAGAGATTAACGGAACGTACAACTCTCCTTTCTTCATGACTAGGTTCCGAGAAGCGCTTTTCCATTTCTCTTCGCTCTTCGACATGTATGACACCACAATACAAGCAGAGGATGAATATGTACACAGGGCACTGTTGGAGAGAGAGTTACTTGTGAGAGACGCGATGAGCGTGATTTCCAGCGAAGGAGTTGAGCGGTTTGCGAGGCCTGAAACCTACAAGCAATGGCGGGTTAGGATTTTGAGAGCCGGGTTTAAGCCAGCAACAATAAGCAAACAGATCATGAAGGAGGCCAAGGAAATAGTGAAGAAACGTTACCATAAAGATTTTTTGATCGATAGCGATAACCACTGGATGCTTCAGGGATGGAAAGGAAGAGTCATCTATGCTTTTTCTTGCTGGAAACCTGCAGAGAAGTTAACAGACAATCATGTAATCATTTGAAAATCGTTACTTATATCGATTGCTTCATTTTTGTTTCGCAATGGTATTGTAGAATCTGTTTTTGATCTCGTGAATGAATGGAATGCATCTCTTCTTTCCTGCAAGTACATATTGGATTCAAACCTTATTGAAAAGTCAAACTGTTTCATATCATAGATCTGGAGCTAACACAAGCATACAACACCCGAAATAGAAAGTAGAAAAGTTTCAAAACTTTTGGCTATAATTTATCAAACGGATTGCAACACCACGTGAATGATGATACAGACAGCAAAACGAATGATCTACTAGCACATATGAACCAAAGTGAACTAATTGCAAATAGGTTGCTGCAGTAAGCTAATTTAAACCCTTTTGGTTTGAGGTTTTGGTGGCTTCAAAACGCTCCAGTCCACTTTCTTGCTCTTCGGTTTCTTGAAAGCATTGCCTTTTTTATTGCTCGGTGATGGTTTGTCATTGCTCTGAAGTTTCCTCGGGGACTTGTTTGGATGGTTTTGTTCATCAGAGACTACTTCAGACTGTTTTCTTTTCAACTCACCATTTGTTTCCCGACTTGGCTCAACCTTCGAACTACTGCTAGAGCTTGAGGGAGAAGCATCTGTTTTTCCACCGTTTATTGCCTCTTCGTTCAATTTCTAAGGAGAGATCAATATTTCAGAAAGCTGAAAGGGAAGAACACCAACTGCAAAGTATTTCAGGCCTCAGCGCCACACACACACTCACCTCGATAGCGGGATTGAAAGACTGAAATGACATGCGTCCCAACAAAGCTCCAGGCTGAGGATCCCAGTCGGTTAAGACCACACTGCATCGAAAATCATACCAGACATTAGAGAACACTACCAAACATGTATTATCGGATACTGAAAAAATACAAAACTATTGCTATGATTCGAACACAGGGAAGTAATCAATCAACCACCCAAAACAAAACCAAGAACAAAGGATAGACAAAACCTACACAAAACATTAACATAAAGTTAGAGAAAAAAAAAAGAAACGGTACCACTTCTTTGCAACAGTACCACCAAGGGAAGGAAAATTCCCATTAGGCTCTTCAACATTCTTCTTCTTCTCCTCTTTCACAGCAGACCTTTGCATAAACTATAAACAAAAGAGCATCACTCATTATTTTATTCATGAACCAACTTGATTCTCATATGGGAATGAAATAACATAACACGTTGTTATCGGTCACCTACAAACCAAATAACTCAAATTAATTATCAACTACGAGCTACAGATCGATGATGCAACTTTAGCCCTAAACCAGTGCTATAAGTATATAACTGCTGCTATGAAAAACATTTCTTCACCAACAATGTAGTAGCAGAAAGCACAAGATTCAAAGCTTATACCAACCAACCAAACAAGAGATAGATTCTAATTGTGCAATCAGTGATTAAGGGCCAACTGAATATAAGCTTATATACATATACACAAATGTTTCATACGAGCATGTAACTAAGTTTGTCAATCTCCATGATACTAGACATATCCAAGCTCTTCAAAGATTTGTATCCAGAGAAGTGTAGTGACTCAAGGAAAGGTTTTTTTCAGTCAAAATTTTGTAAGTCAACACGTTGGACATATTCAATCGTTTGTTCCTCCATATCTCTGAAGGGCGAGTTTTTCAAGCTCCAATTGCAAAGCAACACAAGCCCCAAAGTAAAATCAACTTCGAAAGGGATTTTTAATTCGTCCGAGAACCAAACTCCAGCACCCAAAAAAAGATAAAACTTGAAAAATAGCAAATTCCATACTCGAATTTACGAAATAAAGACCAAACCCATCACAAATCATCGAGAAATTTACCTCAATTTCAAGTTCGTGGAGATAGAAGATAAACACATACCTTTAGATTTCTCAGAGTGCTACTAATCTCTCTCTTCGCCATTGTAGCTTCTTCTCTCAAAATACTCCCAACACGAAATTTTCCGGTGCCGGAGAAGAGGAACAACTCGGGTATTCTCGTTTTAGGTTTTATTTTCCGATTTCAAGCTCCTCCCAAAACACAGATATTTTTCCAACTTAGGTTTTTAATTGGTAATTGGTAAAACCTAATCGGTTCAAACCGTACCAAATTGAAAAAAAAAAGACTGATTACCAAACCAAAATTAAATTTCTATTTGAAGATCGGTTTAGTTTTCTTCTCTGTATTTGAAGGCCGAAGAAAACATAGTCAACGAAGCAAGCAAGTTCCAAAAGAATGGATTATCTGGGGATTAACATTAGCTGCTTGATCGGATCTCTCCGGAACGGTGAGTTTCCGGCGAAAGATTGTCTCCTTCCTCTCATTTCGAAGCTTCTCGGTTACTTCCTCGTCGCTGCTTCAATCACCGTCAAGCTTCCTCAGGTTAATCCAATCAAAAACCAATCAATCGCTTTCTCACCCAAAAATCCAGAATTTGATGTTGAAATCGATTTGGGTTTTTTTGTTGTAGATAATGAAAATCGTGGACAATAAGAGCGTAAAAGGGTTAAGTGTAATAGCGTTCGAGCTAGAAGTCGTGGGTTACACAATTTCTCTTGCGTATTGTCTTCACAAAGAGCTTCCATTTTCAGCTTTTGGTGAAATTGCTTTTCTTTTGATCCAAGCTTTGATCTTGGTGGCTTGTATCTATTATTTCTCTCGACCTCTCTCTGTAACAACTTGGTTCAGAGCAATTCTGTATTTTGCTTTAGCACCAACTGTGTTTACTGGTAAGATTGATCCTTTGGTTTTTGAAGCTCTTTATGCTTCAAAGCATTTGATTTTTCTATCTGCAAGATTACCTCAGATTTGGAAGAATTTCAGAAACAAAAGCACTGGGCAACTTAGTTTCTTGACTTGTTTGATGAACTTGGGTGGATCCATGGCTAGAGTTTTCACTTCCCTTCAAGAGAATGCTCCATTTAGTATGCTTATGGGTATTTTGCTTGCGGTCTCCACCAATGGAATCATCATGAGTCAGATTCTTTTGTATAGGAGCAAAGGGAAAGAAGAAAAGCAAGTCAAAGTTACAAAGGTGTCATGAAAATTTGTAAAAGAGATTTATAAAGATGTTGCATTCATTGAATAGATTAAGCTTTGTTTTTCATTACATTCCATCTCACATTTCGGTGATCTCAAGATGTTGTTCTCAATAAAAAGCTGTAAATTACACTTATTTTTTTGCTCTAAAGATTGAATAGTTTACGCAGTCTTTATTCTCTTCGTTTTCGTTATCATCAGCTGCGAAATGTGAGTGAAATGTTTGTTTTTAAGCAATGGTTTCAATGGCGACTTTTTGCCTGGATCTAATCTCCTTGGCTTTGTCGTCAACAGCTTCCCATAGCTCGGGAAGTGCTTCGCGTATGTTGTGAATATGCTCCAATGCAATATCTACTCCTTCCTCTTTGTGCGAGGTCCCAACCTAGTAATAAAGAAAAAAGTGAGGTTTGAGATTGATAAGTTTTGCTTTACACTTGCGAGTCTCTGTTTCTTTTACTTACCCATACGGTGTGGAGACCCACGCGTTTCCCGGATTGAATGTTGCGAATACTGTCATCAAAGAACAACTGAAAACACCCGAGATATTTAGAAATTGGTAAGCTTAAGTGATTAAGTAGAAGATGAAGAAAAAGCAGTAAAAGGTTTGATGTGAATCTTACTGTCTTGTGAGGATTGATGTTGGCCATCTTGAAAACATGTTCAAATGATCCTTCAGATGGTTTGCATATAACCGGAGTCTTAGGGAGCTCGGCGCTCGGATCAGGATTTGCAATGTAACTGCTTATGTCGAAGATTTCTCTGGTTTCGATATCAACATGAGATTCAGTTTTGGTGTGGGGGTTCAGAGTCTCGAAAGAAATGATTCTTTCAAAGCAATCCTCAAGGCCTAGCCTGGCAATAACCTTGGCTGCATGAGCCTTGTCTGCATTCGTGAAAACCTGCGGGAAGAATCAGAGAATAAATAAACTGATTCGAAACCAAATGTAAAAGGAGCTTAGCATCAATGAGTGACAAAACTCATACAACTTTACGAATAGGCAAGCTAAGAATGATATTCCTCAAAATTGGGTCAGGCTTCAGTGTTGCGTATGGCAATCTCCCATGAACAAAACTGTAAAAAAAAAAAGAGAAGAATCTCAAGTCCCAAACACCATACACTTTGAAAAAGACATAAAGAATATAGACGAGAAGCGGGTTAAAGCTCAGTACCGATGGAAATCGTCATAATCAAAGTCATAACCAACAGCCTGAGAGAATCAACATCAGAAAAACCAAGAAGCATTGCATTAACAACATTGGAAAAATACAGAATGATGTTACAGTGTGGTGAAAGAAGATAACCTTGAGACCAGCCATAGTTGTTCCATAGATTTTATAGAGCGAAAGACAAAGTTCTTGGACTTTATCTTGTTCAATACCAAGTTTCTGAGTCATATACTCTAAATGAAAACAACAAACACAAGCTCAGCTATAACATTTGAGCAAACCAATCTTCCACAGATGAATCCAAGAGGGAATTTACCTTGAATGTTTTTCTTAACCTCGGTAGCCAAACCAGAACTGAGAGGGTAAAGAGTATCATCTATGTCTGTTTTTTTTTTTTTTAATCAAGTCAAAATAATCATTTTTTTAATCAGAAAACGTTTAAAATTTAAACCATTTCTCTCAATAATCAAATGCCACTCAATCTCGATCCAAAAAAAAATTGTTCATTTTCCTTACCAAATAAAAGACAATCATATTTGTTTTTTTCCTCGTACGACATTTTGATTCACACCTGAAAACAAAATCATAAAAAACCAAACTGAAATCTCATTGTCTCCAAACACACATTTCACAACATTAGTTATACCAGATCACATTAACTTACACTAATCG